ATGTGAGGAGCAGCCAGAGGAAGAAGAAAGATAAAAAATAGAATAAAAAAAAGAAAGAAAACCTGTATTTTTCTAATCCAAACCCTGCCCTGTGGTGGCTCTGTACCCCTTAGTTGTTCTTTTGAGATGTGAAATGTAGAACAGAGTGCAATTACTTTCCAGATTACATTTTATCTTCCCTTACCAAGGTATTGAAGAGGAACTGGGGAGCACGTTATAAAGCATACAACCATATTAAGTCTTGATTCCTTCTAAAACCATTGCAGGAAATCACATTTTATTTACATGAGGGTCAAAACTTCTTAGCTTTCTAAGCTTTTCACGATTCATTGTTCCCTTGGTTGTGATCTGTGGAGCTGTTGGCCTGTCACCAGTCTCTTTTCTCAAAAATTAGTGAATTTAAACAACAAATCTCAAAAGGCTTTGGACTGAAAAACTGGAAAAATTACTCCGTTTTGGAACTGTGGACCAACTGACCTTTGAAGATACCTGTGGTGTCCACGGGGTGTAAATTCTGTGGCTCCAGGCATGGACAGGATCAGCAGTGGTGGAGATGGAGGATGGGGGGACATCCCCAGAAGGGATCTGCCAGTCCTGTGCCCAGGCAGGGACCATGACACTGAGCAACCACTCCTGAGATAGTGCCTGTCAGGATGCTGATTTTAACCATGTTTAAAACCATTTATGTAGTCTCTTCTCTGCTGGGCTGACCCCAGTGTCCTCTCCTCCCAAGGAAGCTTTTGAAAGGGCATGCGTTTCACCAGCTCTTTTGTGCAGACAGAGGCATTGGATAAAAAGTTAATTTCAAGAGCTGTACAGGCTAAAATGGATTTCCCAGGAAAAGGGGTTCCCCTCTGTAGCATGAGTTCTGCTTTATCATCTGGCTCTGGAGTCCCCCTTTCTTAGACATGCCTCGGTTCTTGGGTGCCAGGGCTGTGCTATGTGTCTATTAATTGTCTTGTTCTCCCTAATTAAACATGCCTAGCTCAATATAACTTGAGGTAATGGTTGTGCATTTAAAGTCAGTATTCATTTTTTTTTGTTTTCACTATTAGTGTGAAAGATGGATATATTCTAAAACATCAACCACCAGTTTGCCTTTCATAGCATGACCTCAATTAGAAATTAGTTCAAGGATAAATAGATTGCTGGGATTCAAACCAGTGATCTTGTCCAAAGCTAGCATTTAGTCTCTGGAAAATAAAAAAATCCCATTTACATCTGTGTTGTGGTTTTGTGCCTCCTACTTGAGGTATCTCAGGCACTGCTCTCAGACCCTTAAAAATCCAGAGGAAACCATCCAGATTGACACTGCTATGAATAGAAGAGTGTCACACACACATACATATATCTGGGAATAGTTTCATTCCTTGGTTTGTTTTTAGACAATATGTAGGTGATACACAGACATTCCCAGCACCATGTCCAAGTTACTTGTGGGTACTGAAGCATCATGTAATGGCAGCCTCTCAAAAACAGGGAAACCTTTTGGCATTATCTTTTCCTGGGTGATAATCTGTTAGGTATGAGTTCAGTCACCCCACATTGATGGATGTGAGTTGTGTTCCTAGAAAGCTCAGATTCCTTTTCAACCTTTTTGGATGGTTTGAGGAATACAAAGCAAACATCTTGAATGAAGAGCCATCAGAAAAGAAGAAACCTTTTTATAATTTCCAGGGTTGGAAGGTGGTGCAGGAGCCACCTCTGTGTCCACCTGCCACACTCCTCTGCTCCTTCTGCCCTTTTGCTTCGTGGTTTAGTTCCCAGAAAAAGGGCGGTTTCCCCCTCTATGTGTTTAATAATGCACAGCACCTTGCAAGTTCGACATAAAAGAAACAAGACAGGTATCCAGTGTGTGGGGGACTGACTTTGGGTAGTAACAAGCAAGCGGAAAGCGGTTTCTTAAGTGAGAGGAAGGTTTGCTTGGCAGCCCTGGAGTCCTGGTGGCACCTGCCAGTCCCTCATCAAGCTTTAATCAGCCCTTCACAGACTGGGCATGCCTTTCTTTGCATTTCTGCTCTCCCTTCCTGCCAGAACTGGGGAGCTGGAGCAACCCAGATTGCTTCAGTTTTGACTTTCTGCTTATGTGAAAAATATAAACATAAGAATGAGCTGGTGAGCACACAGCAGCTGATGTACTTGGCTCATGTGAATAGCAGGTAGTGGGTAGCACAGAGGCTGCCTCTGCTCCAGTCATCCTGCTGGGAGGGAGGTCTGCAGCACCATTACAAGCTCTTATTACTTTCTGGATAATGTATACACTTTTGCTATCACATAGGTTTTCTCCTTCATTTTTCATGAGAACTATCACTGGATTAATGGTTAAGCCATGGAGGAAACGTAACGCCATGCCAGTCTGATTTATTGACCACTTAGTGCTGATGAAGCTGCAAACAAGAGTCAGACAGATGTTGCAGCTGCATTTTTCTTTATCAAAACTAACAGCTTTTTGTATGTTGGTTTTTTTTTTTTTTTTAACCACTTCTTGCTCCATCTCTGGCTTACTATACGGGGATACTGGAACAAATTCCCAACACCTCCCAGGGGAAGGGCCTCTACTGTGACACGTCCACTTTCCTGGCACATTTCCCATGTGGAAGTTTTGTTCTTTTCATTTGTAATTTTTCTTTTAATCTGTCACATCTCTCTTGTTCCACTGATGGGTCTCCACAAAGAAATAGTGATTCTCTGCTGATTTTGAATTTTCAAGACCTTATGCATTCTCTTAGTTTGTGCTAAAACACTTCACTTTACTAGGTAGATTGTCACTCAAGAGACTTGACAACCTGAGATAAACTTTCAGATGTAGACATAAGAAACAAATCTGTTGGTTTTGTGTTTATTTTATATGCTTTTTTATATAGAAGTGCCAGCCCACTTCTTAGGTACACTCAATTCTGCTGCAATGAAGCCAGGAGGCCCTGTTGTCCTCACTTGTCTGGTGACAAACAGCTGTGAAAAATACAGTTTATCTGAAACAACAGAAGCAGCATCTGCAGAACTGCCAGGCTGCCTGACGCTGCGGCAGCAGCGCGTCCTTGCTCTCTTCTCTGACACCTCCGAGAGCAAAAGGTGTCTTTACACAAAATCTGTGAAGCATATTGCTTTTTATTACTTCATCATCTAAATCACTAATTCTGTTAAATTAGCTGATAGACACTGGGTGTATAGCTAATCACTTTTATCATCTGAATATTTTCTGAATTATGGACAAGGACCATAATGTCTCAGTCCCCCCCTCCATCACCTCCCCAGTCCGGAGCAGCACTGGCTGCTCATGTTGGAAGCAGCTCAGCTGCCCTGTTAATTCCCTGGGAGCCCCAGGTGTCTGCTCCCTCACCTTTAAAGGGTAAAATGGGAAGGCTAAGAGGAAAACACATCTCTTTTTTGTGTGGTGACCGAAGCTCTGCAGTGTGGAAAGAGGGAGAAGCCTGCAGCAGCTCAGAAAGAGAGGATATGGTGTTTCACTGTGTGCTTCTCTGTCTGCCTCTCCTCTGGGGCAGACGGTGTGCCCTGTGAACAGAAGGCTGTGAATATGTAAAAATTGAAGATAAAAGGTCCAATTCATTGTCTCCTGGAGGCTCCTGGGAATAGAAGAGTTGACGGTTTTCTTTGCTTTAGCACTTTCCGAAACTGCTCTGAAATAAGTTGCTAGCAGTTGTAGGTTTCTTTGCCTCTTCCCTGTGCAATGCGTGTATTTATAACGCAGGCTGCAGGAATTTGATGCTACAGCCTGGCAGAAACTTCACTGAAAAGCCTTGCTTGGAGTTTGCATCGGTAGAGGAAAATGCAAGTTCCTGCTTGCATCAGGTCCGGACTCCCAGGAGAGCTGCTCCTGCAGCCAGCGCGGCTGCCGGGGGCGCTGCGGGTCCCGCCCGGTGCGGGTCCCACCTGCTGCTGCGCCTCCCGGCGGGGTCCTGCGCAAGCACCCCCGTTAGCACAGCCTTTGCAAACGACTCGTCGCTTGTGTTCCCTCTCTCACTCAGAACAGGGCTCTCACAGCATTAATGAAACATTAGGGTTTTAATTACATCATTATCCTATTTATTTTTATAAATAATTCCAAAGCAGTCATTAAAGTTTGTGAACTTAGGAGTAAATTACTTAGGGGAAAGAAATCCGCTTTTCAGTCTTGTTATTATCACTTGTACAATCTCCCTGGGATGGTGTTGGGAAGCCAGCAGAGTTGTTGAGGTGATTGGCTCTCTGGCGGGGGGAGGCAGCTCCGCTCCCGTGTCCGGGGCACGGCACCGCAGTGCGCCAGAGCGCCCGCACC